CAAATGACTTTACACAATTGATATGTGTATGGATTGCGATAACAGTTGTATGAGCCCCTAATAAAATGTTTAAAAAAAAAAAAGAAAACCAGAGACGTGGCCATCTGCTGTTGCAGGAGGAGTGAGGGACTCAGGGCTGATGGATGGGGAGGGGAGGTGGGTAGAGGACCCCTTGCTGTCCAAGGCAGGGACACTAGGAGATCCTCCCGGTGGTTGGAAGCAGTAGCTTGGTCAGAAGGCTCCTCGGGCCCCATGAGCTTATATCCTTGAGACTGAAGAACACTGGAGCCCATCGAAGGCTTTTAAGGTAGAGGACCGATGATCCTATTGTGTTTAGAACGCTTTCTCTGGCTGCCGGCTGGATACTGAATTACAGGGCAGAATATACACTAGAAAGACCCCTGATGATGGCCATGGCACAAGGCAGAAAGAAAGGCAGGGTTCAGAATAAAGGGGACACATTTCAGAGAGATTGGAAAGGTGGAACCGTGCTGCCTTGGTGACACAGTGAGCAGCAGCAAAGAGGGAGAGGAAGGAATCTAGAAAGGGTTGCGCCCAGGTGTCCGCTTTGGACATCTGAGGGTCATGGGACAGACACGGATATGCAGAGTGATAGAATAAGGAGCTGAGTGAAGGGCGGGCGGGCTGCGTTTTGGCCATGGAAAGTCAGAGGTGGCAGGGGGCACACTCTGGGAATGTGCAGTAGACCGACCAGCCGATGAATGTGCCTGCCGTTGCCGAAGTACTCTGGTCTCCGAGAGCAGCCCTGAGTGTGTGCCGCTCCCTTGCCATCCGTCCACCCAGTGTTTTGACGTGTGGTCACTCTCGGGACACCTTTCTCTCTGTCTGTGGGGTTTCCTTAGTGATAGTTTACTGGGACTTCCTTCCTGAAGAGCCTCATCTCCATTAAAGCCCAGCACTCTTTCAGTTCATGCTGGTCTAGCTACGTATCAGTGACTGCGTCGATAGATGTTGTTTCCCTGTCATTACACCTGTACTGAGTGAAGAATGAGCACACGTGCCATCCTTGGTGTTCATCTGCTCCATCGTCCATCAGGGTAGCAGCTTAGCAAAATGCAAGTCTTATGCATAGCTGATGACGGTCATCCACCGAGTCTCTTAGTTTAATTAGAGAAAATATGGTCTCAGAAAATGATTTTGCGGTTACATTGTGGAGCCCTGTACATCACACTCCCCGGAGCATGAAAATTAAAGAGAGCAATCTGCCATTGCTGAACCTGTGAGCATCTCTGACCTCAAACCAGATAGCAGGCGCAGTAATTTCCATGCCCATGGTCTGCGCCCATTCAGTTCCATTGTTTACTTTGGCTCCAGTGCTTGGCTGCTCCTTTCAAGTTGTTGGCTTTCACTGTTTGCAAAAGTGGATCCCTGCAGCCAAAGAGGGAGGATTAGGAGTCCGTCTGGAAGTGCTATTTTCATTGTCACTGGTAAGGTCAGCTTGCTCTTGTTAGGGATTTTCTGTGACAGTGGCAGAGACAGCTAAGCAGAGCCAGTTGCTTGACTGCTTTCAGCAGGCACCCCTCACGTCTCACACACACACGTCTCATCTCACACTTCACATTACACATACATCACATACACACACACACATGCACACACACCTTTGACTCCTCTCAGCATGCACCCCACATCTCACACACACACACATCTCACGTGTCAGCTCACACTTCTCACTACACACACACACACACACACACACACACCCTGTTGCCATCGTTAAGTAATATTCTGTCCAGATTCTCGTTGTGAGAAGAACACAGTCATAACGAAGTATATGCAAAGTGAGATTTCTCTTACTGAGTCTGGAGTGGGTCTTGGTTGTTACGGTGCTTTGACTCCCTGCAGGCAGTAGTAAGGGGGTGGAAAATTTTATTCCTTTCTTCCATGATGTGCGTTGCAAGACAACATGATGTTTGGAAGAGCCTTTTCCTCCTGACTGCCAGTCTCTCTTATGACTAAGTTGCTGGTTTTCAGTTTCAGACTGCTGTAAGTCTGAGCTTAAATCCCGACTGTGGGGGGGTCATAGCGCTTCGTGGTTTAAGTTTTTCCTCTCGCATTTGTCATCTGCCAAGGTCAACATTCAGTGGCCTTGACGTGGGACACAGAACTCAAATTTCTTTCTTTGGTTTTTTATTAAAATTTTTACCTTCAATTTTATTTAAAAACAATATTCTAATAGGAGCTTAATGAATGTTTGCTGGATGAAATCAGTGAAAATATTGGCTGTGATTTTCAAAACAAGTACTGTGCTACCAAATGGTAAACACACACAAACCCGGAAGTCTCATTGTTTCAAAGGTTTCGTTTGCTCTGTGTAACTTTTCTGTGATTTCTCGAGTCATGCGTCTTATCTTTCACTTCTCTGAGCCCTTACATTTTATGAAACTCACCTATTCCCTCGGTAGGCCTCAGCATTTGTCTTTGTGGAGGTGAAGTTCAGGTTCATAGAGGATGCCGCTCTGGAACGGCTCTCTCCCTTCCCCTGCCCTCCCTGAATGTATTGATCATGTTCCATTCCTCTTTGAATTCTTTTGTAGAAATAAGATAGAGACCTATCGAACATCCAGCTCATCCCAGAGCTCCTTTCTCCTCCGAAGAGTTCATTTAAAAGGTTAACTTTGAAGTATCTGGCCATCTTCTGAAGGCCCACTGTTTGCGTTTCTAACCAGACAACGTTATTCACGTTTGATTTCTGTTTCTTTCTTTTGTTTTGTTTTTTCGTTCCTCAAGATGTGGATGAGTGCTTGGAAGCAGGTGTCTGCACAAACGGGACTTGTTCCAACCTGGAAGGCTCTTACACATGTTCCTGCCACAGCGGCTACAGCCCCACGCCGGACCATAAGCACTGCACAGGTGAACACTGCCCTGGGCGGCTCGCGGTCCGCTCCGCTGTCTTTAAGAGAGATGAGGGCCTCTAGCCGTAGAAAAGCAAATTCACGATCTACCATATATTTTGACCAAGCTTTTTGGGGCACATTTGGTTTGGCATTTCTTGAAAGGGTTCCTCATTATAGTGAAATACAGAGAGTTTTTACTGACTTAAAGGGATACAATGTACTTTTAGATCGTGTTTGTAACCACAGACTGTTTTATTCACCTTTTTCCTAGTTATAAAAGCAATATAGTCAGTTGCACAATTTTGTGACTGTCCTTAAGCCATTGCGTTGTGCATTTGAAAGGGGATTGCTTGGTATGTGGATTGTATCTCCATAAAGTTATTACCCAATAAAGCAGTGTTGGTATTCCTTGTAGAAAATTTAGAAAATGCAGAAAGGTGAAAAGCTAAAGTCATAATCTCTTATCATCTCATTCATGGATATTCATTTCATGGATGTTTTAGAAGTTAAAATTACATTTGTGTACAATTTTGCATGTTGCTGTTTTACTTTATCATTAGCATTTCCCCCTCTCAGATGTTGTCTTTAGGGCTGCACACCACATATTCCCATGTCTTACTGTCTGTTGAACTACCTTTGACCAGATTATTGTTTTTAGGGCTGCACACCATGTATTCCCATGTATTACTGTCTGTTGAACTACTTTTTAGAAGCTGACCAGAATATTGTTTTTCAACTATCATTATTGTTGTAAAAAACTGTAACAGACCTCTTTAAATCACACACACACACACACACACACACACACACACCTTTGTCTAAATTTAGGTTTATTACTTTATCCATAAGGGTAAAATAATTATTGAGTTAAATATTCTGAATTTTCTAACTATTTTGACAGGCTGATAGTAATTTCTTATTAAAATATATTTTTTTAATTTTGAGATTTAGTGTTTTATACTTCATGTTTAGTCTATAGTTATTTTATATCCTTTATATTTATTTTATGTCCTTAGCCCCTTTAGTAATTAATTCATTGAACACTTCTAATTATAGTAGTTAACATTTAATTCATATGCTCATAGTTATCAAATATTTGTATTAAACCCTTTCGTGAGTTTGTGTTAAGACTCTCTGCTCCTGTGAAGATTTCGTCTCAGAGAACCTAAGGAAGTTCTCCTCTGTCCTATGAGACAGTTGCAATCGACTTGATGGCTTTGGACTGGGTTTGGTTCAAGTTGACCCAAGTCTTGCATACTCTTCGAATTCCGCACCGATCACCTGAAGTTCAGCTTTGGCAGTGGTCACTGTGCACCTCAAATGTCCAGACTTTATGTCAAACCTAAATTTAGAGTAGTGACTCA